ATCATTAGTAAGAGTGATCAACTTGGTAGTCGAACACAATTCCAAAAATACATATAAGTGCGTATAAGGATCCTCTGTTGCAAACCCATGGAAGATAGGAAGCATTTGGATCATAGCAGGTTTGATCTCAAAATGGGTTGTATCAGCATTCAGAAATACAAAGCACGAAGGAGAAGTATATGTGGTAGGAATAAAATGATCCCTCAATTGTGGTTATTGAGGAACAGGTGGCATCCATTCTCCATTACCATTACCATTACCATTACCATTGCCATTACCCGGTATATCACGATTATCAGCCATGTTATTAGAGGAATTTCCTATTATATTCAAATGTTTTTTAAGTTTTCTTAATTGACTAAGAGTTCTCTCTATTTCAGGATCATGCACTAATGGTTTTGGCTGAGTATGGCGAGTTAATATGCACTAATTCCACTAATTCTAAAAGTGACAAAAATAAAATTTTCCAAGTAAAAGAAAACAACAAAAACTCACAGAATGGTTAATGAACCGAAGCTTTTTATCCCTTAAGTGTCTTTGTTCTCACTGTTAATTTCCTGTACCTAAAAAGAAAAAGAATTAAGGTAAGATAGTAGAAAGTCCGTAAACTGGTATACCAAAAATAAAACTAATTAAAAACTAAACTAAATATTAAATCTCCCCGGCAACGGCGCCAAAAATTGTTGTGTTATTTTGTCAATTATAAATAACCACTCGCAATAGTACGAACCTTTGTAAGATAGCACTATAGAGAGGGTGTTGAACCCACAGAGAGATGAATTATTATGTTCTGCTTTTAATTAATCTCTATTGGTTTACAGGTAACTGGTTGAATTGTTTGATTAGTTGTTATGATTATAAACTAAAATTAAACTAGAGTGATAAGAGAGATAAGGTCTTAGGGCTTTAATTTCACCACAACCTTCATACTATGGTTAACTGTTTTAACTCTGGAGATTTAACAAATTATATTTTGAATGAATTGAACTCAATAACATTCGTTTAATTCGGGTTTTAAAGAAAGATGTTTTATAAAATGCAATTAACTATAACCTATCTGCGGTTAGCATGGACTATCCACCTACCTACTCTAACTACTTTAACTAATTTGTAAACAATTCATATTTCCTAAGCATAGACTATGAAAACATTCTTTTATAAAAAACATTGGAACACCATTACATGACCTATATTCTTATGTCCGGCAGGGCTCCGCCAGATATTGTCCAATAAGAATAGGTTAATAATATAAAACAAATAGTTATATCTAAGACAAGGTAATAACAATTTGAAAACTATTTAAAGCATTGAATCAAATTAAGTTGTCTCAATTACTCATAGTCATGTAATAAAAAACATAATATATATTAAAATATCCCAGAGTTAAAAACAATCAAACCATAGTACTAGATTGGGTTACATCAGTGACCTAAGAGAGAAATTAGCTACTCATGACGATGCCGAATATCATCTGTGTTGTAGTCGTCTCCATCGTCACGAACGACACTTCTCTTTTCACGATCTTCACTTTCTAAAGTTATGGAAACCCTAAAAGCCACCACCACAATATCAGCCTTTTAAATAATACGAGAAAAAGAAACTTCTTCTATTAAGGCCCATGCCTTCTTTTATAGAAGAAAATAAAGGTCTAATGGGCTTTTAAGTCTTCTAGCCCATCTGGAATGAGGTACGACTTGTAGAGAGAATAATTCTGTAACTTAAATCTGATCTATCATGGGAGGCTCGTGCTTTAGGAAGTAGAGCTTGAGCTTTGAGTTTTGGACTCGAGCTTTGGGAACAAGGCTCAAGCTTCATTAAATAATTGCTCGAGCTTCAAGGAATGGTGCTCGATCTTCACTTTGATACTTCGTCAATTTTCTTCAACTATTTTTCGAAGCATCTTTTCCTTCGACACTTAGAATATTTTGGGATTCATCTCTTTTAACATTGCTTGGTCCAAGCTTCATGGGCTCGAGCTCTAGGTACCGAGCTTAAGCTTTAGGTACTCAAGGCTCAAGCTTTGGATGATGGTGCTTGATCCTTGAGGTCTGGCACGAGGCTCCGGGAGCTTGGTTTTTCCATAAAATCAATTCTTCAAATTCCGACACCTTGTGCTCCAGCTTGAAGGTCAAGGCTCGAGCAGCCAGTGGTTAGGCTCGAGCACCACTGAGTAGGGCTCGAGCTCTGAAGGTATAAGACTCGAGCTTCAATGCCTTATTGATTTTTCTTCTTTTTCTTGCAGGGCTCAAGCCTCAAGACTTGGGGCTTGAGCCTCAAGACTTGGGCTCGAGTTTTGGATCCTGAATTCTTCCAAACTTCACCATTTAAACTCTCGGTTTGCTCTGAATGACCGACAACGACTCTGTAAGCTTTGATATTAGTCTTTTCATTATAATGTCCCGATTTTAACTGTTTCTCCGGGAAAGTACCTATAAACACACATTAAACATAAATCAGTCTAACAACAGATAGAAGTATCACTTTAGGTCTTAACATATGTATATTTAAGGGCTCGAATATGCAATATTCAGCGCTCATCAAGTAGGTGACCCACAATGGGACCCATTATCAGGGGTCTCCACTTCACACCCTTTTGTCTTATTATAGAAAGATAAAACTTCTTCATTCACAAATAACGATGTCCTATATCGTTTGGAAATATACTTCTATATTTTTCTTATAAAATTATTCGATTTACTTACATAGTAGTGAGTAGGACCCCTTGATAATGGGAACTCATTTACGACATTGAAATGCCCCATTGTTAGAGGTCTCCACACACTCCCCACATATTTTTCAAATAAAAGATTTTTGCATGTTTTTAGAACCTAGGGTCCCACATCGACTAAAAAAGGAAAATTACTTTTGCTATCAAAGTACAACCTAGTTGGTGTATAATCAGTGGGGTGAGGACCCTGAATTATGTGATCCATGAACAAACGGAGTCCATCGTCATGGATCCGTAATTCAGAGCCTTCCCCGCTTTCTTTTGAAGTCAAATCCTTTCAAGTGAAAATAGAGAAGAGAAGATGGCCTTTAATGAGATCATTTGTGAGTGATTGTGCCCTTTTAATGTGACTTTTTATGTGAAAAAAAATTTCAAAAATGTTAAGAATTACTTACACTCTTATAATAGTAGTATAGTATATATACATATACATATACAGATTATATATATATATATATATATTTAGATATAGATATAGATAGTGTAGATATGAATTGTGTTCAATTGGTAACCAAGCTAAATTAATATAGATTATTTATTTTTAATGATGATTTAAAATTCTTGACACCTCTTATACTTTTAATAATAGCATATATATATATATATATAGATAATTATACTATGGATGAATTGTGTTCAATTGGAAACTAAGTTAAATTAGTATAGATTATTTATTTTTATTGATGATTTAAAATTATTGACACCCCTCACATGATGTTATGTACTTTTAATATTAGTAATAGATATAGATAGATAGATGATTTAAAATTATTGACACCCCTCATATGATGTTACGTGAATTAATAATTATATTGGATTATAAAAGTGAATTTATTTATTTGAACTAAATATTTTAATTAATAACTTATGTTTGTAATTTATTTATTTTTAGTGATAATTTTAAATTATTTACAGCTCTTGTACTTTTAATAATAATAGATATAGATAGATAGATTATTTATTTTTAATGATGATTTAAATTTTTTGACATCTTTGTATTTTTAATATCCTTGTACTTTTAATAATAGTCAATGGGTAGTTAAGACATTTACTATAACAGTTTGAAGGTATTTTCAAAACAGATAAAAAAATGAGAAAATTATATTTTGGTGACCAAAATTAAATATAATTGCTATATAGTGACCTTAAAGTCAAGAAAAGGTGAATAGTGACTAATTTTGAAACTTAATTGATATTAAGTGACCATTTGATAGTTTATTACCTAAATAGCCTTTTTATAATATATTATTATGTAAGTAGACAAATTTACCCTCTACATTAACCTAAATAAACACTTACTTAAATTGACTAATAAAAAGACGACAGATTATTAGAGTGAATCTCTGAAGAGAAGATCAAGATGAGAGAGAACTGATGATAGATATTATACATCATTTTCTTCAAGATTCTAAGAGACATGACGAGAAAATTGTAAATTTTTTTCTTATTCATTATTTTCAATATATAGTTATTATACTTTATGAGTTGATTTGTCTAAGAGATCTTCCTTAAGATATAAGATTGTAATTTTTAGAAAATTTTAATACTACTTAGTTATAGTTCAAGAAATAATGACTATTATTGATTAATTTCATAATTTTACTAACTGTTAAATGGTGTTTCAAAAGTATGATTTGCCACTGTAAATGTTACTGTTAAATGGTGTTTCAAAAGTATGATTTGCCACTGTAAATGTTACTGTTAAATGGTGTTTCAAAAGTATGATTTGCCACTGTAAATGTTATGAGCGTTCATGCTGGAGAGCCTTGAAAAATAAATAAAGGATGGAAAAGAGATAATGTTGATAAAGAAATTTTAATTTTTTAAATTGGTAAATTGTAAACTAAAAAGGAAAATATTAGATGGTTAATAGCCTTGAAAAATAGATAAAGGGTGAAAAAAAGATAATGTTGATAAAGAAACTTTAATTTTTTAAATAGGTAAATTATAAACTAAAAAAGAAAAAAAGAAAATGTTGGATTAGAGAGAGAGAGAGAGTAGGAGGAGGATGAATTTAATGACTTATTATTTATATTGGATGGCAATTTTGTCATCTAAAATTTATTTTAAAAATATTTATTAAACTTTTAAGTATTTTTGACCAAATTATCCTTTAATGGTCACTTAATATCAATTAACTTTCAAGATTGATCACTATTTACTTTTTCTTGACTTTAAATTCATTATATAGCAATTATGTTTACTTTTGGTCACCAAAATATAATTTTTCCTAAAAAAAAAATCTCATAATTAGGACAAATTATAAGAGAGGTCTCTCCCCACCCGCCTGATCCGACTCCAACAAATGATATCAGCATACCTTGGAGGAACGGAAGAGTGCTCGATGACCAGTAGGTAGATGACGTCCTAGTCGGCGACACTTCGGAGCCTCGTAGGCGGCGACCAACTCGGAGGACGACTCGTGGCGGCTATTTCACGATAAACCCTAATTCCTAATTCCTCTCTAAGGCGATTCCCCGTTCGAAGGCTTGAGGTAAAACTATTTTAAACTTACATGAGTGGATTAAAGCTTCGATTAGCAAGGCTAGTATCAAAAAACTTCGTTAACGCATTTCAGTTTTTCTTGAATTTTCTTGGATTTTTCCATTGTCATTGTCCCTTATCTTACTTAATCTGATGCTTATTTATGTTGGAGATTGCTTAAAGTTTGGAGGCCGTAACATACGCATAAGGATATATTTATGCAATATGCTTGTATATACAGGCTCCAGGATTTTGGTGATTTTGGTGATTTTGGGTTCAATTTTATTTTTATTTTTATTTTATGGAACTCTATTTAATGATTAACTATGTCTTTATGGATTTGGTGATGATTTGTGTGAGTTTGAAGGTGCCAGTTTGTTTGTATATGTGCATGTGTGTTATGGGTTGAGGTTTTTCGGATTTGAAGGAATTTTGGGTTCAATTTTTAATTACTTGTGATCCTATTTGGTTCTAATTGATACTTGAATAAGTTTTCAATTCCTTTGGGTGGAGTTTTGATTAAGTTGAATGTATTGTGATTTGCATTGCCTTGTATTTATGTATGCATGTACAAGCGATGGGCTTGCGGGTCTTCTATATTGCATTGATTTTTCCCGTCTTTGATTTCTTATTTTTTTTAAAATTTTTTACCTTTTATTTTTTGGGTAAGACAGCCTATTTGTCATATTAGTTGGGACAAAATTTTTAATTTGAGTATGTTTCACATGTTTGTTGTAATATTTTTATATGTTTTTTTGTGTTTTGGATTATCATTTGTTACTTTTATGGACTTTTTTATCTTCTTTAAAAAGTACCAGTCTATTTTAGTTCATTTCTACTCGATTTATAGGATCTTAGATCCCTGATATGATTTTATAGATCTCCCAATCAATCCAACATAGAATTCGATTGTGACACCTTTTACTTTGTGAGTTCTGAATAAATTTTTTTTGGAGTACTTTATTTTTGAAATAGCTCATAGTTTTATCACTTGAAATATCCTTTATAGTTTGTGTTTTGTTACCATCTCTGTCTCGCTCTGAATGTGTTTGTGGTATCGCTCCCCCCTTCTTGATCCGTTGTTCCAGAGAGGATTTTCTATTTAATTTGCATGTGATGTTGGGATATGTCAAAGAGATGGTCTGGGTTTCAATACTTATTTTTTGTAGTTTATATCTTGTTACTGGTTGTTTCACATATTCTTTGTTCTAGAAATGACTATCTAATCAATTTTTAAGGAATGGAGATGCGTCGCGAAAAAGCAGCTGATTATCTGCAAAAAGTAGGCGATATGGATTTCAAAGGTTGTTGGTATACGATAAAGTCAACTCATGATTCCATGAGAATTGCATTGTCATCTGTCATTGGAGGACTGTTATTGGGATTTAATACAGGTAAAAGCAAGGTTCTGTTACACTTGTATCTTATGTTGGTTCTAGAATTTACCTATTTTGGACATTTTTATTTGGTTCGTTAAGTTGAGAATGATTAGTTTTCATATTAATATCTCTCATTTTTAAAGTGATTTATTGGGTTGGTTTGACATTTTTAGTATTGACTAGATGTCTTGGTTTGAAGAATTATGATTCCATGATGACAGAAAAGTATATACGTCTACACTATGAATATTTGCTGTATCATTTGACATTCATAATTTTTTTTGAGCAAACTGGTGGAAATCTTACACCACAAATATATCTAATAGAGCAGTTATAAGCCAATTTGAGGGTCACTTTATTATATTGAAGTCTATGCAGTATACCCCCACCTAATCTGTATTGGTTATGTGGATTAACTGAGAAAATTTCACTAGGTGCTAAATTTTGTGCAGATAATGCCCGACCTTTTCTCATATCTGAAAAAACATTGTTTGTAAACAAGGTGTCACTCAAGTTGGTATTTGGGGGCTTCCAAAATGAACTCGGGCTAAAAGGAGGGTTTTTAAACCTGACAAGATAAAAGATGATAAGGTTTTCCAAATCTATATCTGTATTGAGATACTGGACTGCCTTGAATACTCTAGTACACATGCTTGTACTTCTTAACTTATTGGTGCATGGCAGTGGTGATAAGCTGTTGCCCGGCAACTGTAACAGTGTAAAACCAAGAAAGAAAAGGATTTCCAACAATAAACAAGCAAAAAAATAGAGATTTAACAAATAGATTCGAAGTTGGAACATAGATAGGTGAGTTCTAGAGCAAAGAGACCCGAGAAAAACTCTAAATCTGATTTTCTGGAATAAAAACTGCATACAAAGTCTCTTAATAGACTATATATACTAGGGTACAGTTCCTAACCCATGATTACTTCAATAACTAATAAATCTTAACCCTCCAAAGTACTTTAAAACTCACATGACAGTCACATGACTATTTAAAAAGACCAGGACTATAACTATCATCTACCAAATAACATAAAACATAAAAATAAAATAAGACACATAAAAAATAAGCAAATAACTAAAACTCCAAAATAAATAGAACCCAAGCCTAGTTGGCTAGTGGACCTGATTAGTCTTGGAGAGCGTCGTAGATGCTCCTGCATCAACTCCTCCCGGTTGGGAAAAACTTAACTTCGGTGAGAAAGCCTCCACAACTTCAACATTTATTTCTGGATTAATTCTTTTTAGCTCTTCTTCAGCAATCCATGTACTGTCACTAGCAGGTTTATCATGTCCGCATTTGAGCTAATTTTCTATAGCACCGTGCATGGCCAAACTTCTTTGACTTTAGTTTATGATAAGTGCCTTTTGGGAATCTGTCTCGCCTCAAATGCACCAAAACCATGTCACCCTCTTCAAAATCTTTGACTTTCCGGTGTTGATTGGCTGTAGTTGCATATGATTTATTACTAGACTTTTTCGCTGCCCTTACTTCTTCGTGCACTTTTTTTATGTGATCTGCAAATACCTCTCCATCATCACTCATGGTAGCGGAACTAGATCAAGAAAATGCTGAGGTTTTAGTCCATAAGCAGCTTCAAAAGGTGTCTTCTTTGTAGATTTATTCATGGAATTATTGTATGCAAATTCAAATTGCGGAATAATTAAATCCCACGCCTTCACATTGCTTCCAACAAGGCATCTCAGCATATTACCCAAACTCCGATTTACTACTTCAGTCTAACCATCTGTTCGAGGATGGCATGTGCTAGAGTATTTTAATTCAGTCCCAAACTTTCTCCATACAATCCTCCAAAAGTGTCCCGTGAACTTGACATCTCTATCAGAAACAATAGAAGTTGGCACGCCATATAGTCTCACCACTTCTTTGAAAAATAAATCAGCTACATGTGTGACATCTGCAGTTCTAGAACATGGAATGAAATGCTCCATTTTGGAGAAACGGTCCACCACAACAAAAATACTATCATGGTCCCTTGCTGTCTTTGGAAGTCCCAACACAAAATCCATGCTAATATGAAACCAAGGAGCTTCTGCCACTAGTAGGGTGTGTATAAACATGTGTTTTGTGAGCTTCCCTTCCCAAACTGACGAACATGACACCTCCGAATCAGCCTATTCACATCCTTGTACATTCTAGGCCAATAATAACAATCAGCCACCATTGCCATTGTCTTATCCCAGCCAAAATGTCCTCCTAACCTATTTCCATGAAGTTCTCTAATAATTTGTTCACATAAAGATCCCTCCGGAATGCACAAGTAGTTTCCTTTAAATAAATACCCATCATGCATTCTAAATGGCAGCATCTTCCAACCTGCAGGGCCTTGAAGGTCAACAACTACAGAGCTGAAATATGGATCTGCACCATACTGATTTTTCAACTCCTCAAACCCAATAACTCGAGTACTCATCACTCTGTTAATAATAGATTCCTCCAACTCAAAGCATCCGCAACTTTATTAGACTCCTCAGTTTTGTACTGAAGACAAAAATTAAAGCAACTCTATTACTCTCTCCAGTTTTGTACTCAAGACAAAAATTGAACTCTTGAAGGTATGAACTCCATTTGACACGTCAAGGATTCAACTTCTTTTGAGAATTCAAGTACCTCAAGGCTTGATGATCTGAATAAACCACAAATTATTTATAGGCTAGGTAGTGCTCCTAATGTTGGATTGCACGAACCAAAGCATAAAATTCCAAATCATAGGTGGAATAACGACATTTATTACCCGAAAACTTCTCACTAAAAAAATTCCACCGGCTTTCCTTCTTGACTCAAAACAGTCCCTATTCCTGCATGCGATGCATCACACTCAATAGTGAATAGCTTCTCAAAATCTGGTAGCGTGAGTACCGGAGCTTCTGTCATCAATCTTTTTATTTGTTCAAAGGCTCTTTGTGCCGATTTTGACCACTCAAAAACATTTGCTTTCAAGCATCCAGTGATTGGACTCAGAATGGTGCTGAAATTGCGAATGAACCTCCTGTAGATTGAAACCAATCCATGGAAACTGCGAACGTCACCAACAGATTGTGGTACTGGCCACTCCATAATAGTTTCAAACCACTGGCTGAAACAATAAAGCCAAGAAACACAACTTTGTCGCACAGAAAAGATTATTTTTTCAAGTTTACATAAAGCTTTTCCTTACAGAGAACCTCCTTGACTTGGTGCAAATGGACTAAATGTTCTTTCCTCGAATGACTATATATTAATATGTCATCAAACTAAATGACCACAAATGAGCCCAAGAAAGGTTTGAGTACCTCGGTCATAACTTGCATAAATGTGCTAGGAGCATTGGATAGTCCGAATGGCATCGCTAACCACTCGTAAAGTCCATTCGGAGTTTTGAAGACTGTCTTACATTCATCACCACTCCTCATACGAATCTGATGATACTTGCTTCTCAAGTCTATTTTGGAGAACACCTTGGCCCCCACTAACATATCAAACATATCCTTTAATCGAGGGATGAGAAACTGGTATTTTACTGTAATTTTGTTGATGGCACGACTGTCCACACACATCCTCCATGATCCATCTTTTTTTGGTGGTAGCAATGCTGGAACAGCGCAAGGACTCTTGCTCTCATGCACAAAACCCTTAACAATCAAGTCTTCCACTTGCCTTTGAATTTCAGCTCGTTGTGTGGGTGGCATCCTATAAGTAGGAAGGTTAGCTGCACCAGGCACCAAATCAATAGCATGTTGAATACTCCTCATTGGTGGCAAAACTTGTGGTAAATCATCACCAGCCTGCTCTTGGAACTCCATTAGTATATGTTGAATTTCAATTGCATACTCATCAAATTTTAAAGGTTGTTCCTCTTGTACTTTCTTAACAACAAGCACATACACAAACTCCCATCTCCTTGCTCTCAAGGTCAAATTAGTGGGCTGTCAAAAACCCATTAACTTTGGCAGCCTTAGGAGTGGCGGTGATTTATTCTTCAAGTGGCTGTAACGTCAATTTTTTCCCGTCTTTATGAAAAGAGTAGGTATTGGCTCTAGGATAATGGGTCATGTCTTTGTCAAACAACCATGGCCTTCCTAATAAGATATGACAGGCATCCATACGAACAACATCACACCAAGCTTCATCATTAACTGTATTACCCATAGTGAATTTAACTAAACACCAGTAAGTGACCGACGCCTCGTTCCCTTTTCGGAACATGCAACCTCGTAGGGATTAGGATGCTTCTCAGTTTGTAACTTGAGTTTGTTTACTGCCTCCTGCAAAATAATGTTCTCACTACTACCTCCATCAAGAATGACGTTACACACCTTTCCACCGCAAAGGACTCGTGTCCGGAATATATTGTGTCTTCTCCAGTCTTCTTCCTCGACTCTGGGTGTTGTCATCACTCGTCTCACCACCAAAGACACTCCTTCTACCGGGAAAAGATCAATAACTTCCTTTCCGTTATACTCATCAAATATTGGTTCATGTAATTTTGTGTCCTCAACTCCTCATCTTCAAACTCTGCTAAGTTCACACTTCGTTGTGGACAAGCGTAAGACGTGTGCCCCTTCTCTCCACAAGTGAAACAACGAACTTGTGAAGTGCTGCCACCCTTTGAATTGTTTACAGCAGCACTGTTTTGTGGTCCGAATCTTACTATTTCCTTCCCCTTTTCACTCCTAGCAGCACCCCCAATGATCCTACCTCCTGTTTGGGCACTTGGGATAGCACCTTGAGGAATTCGAACACCTCCAACAACAGCTGTACTCCTCTGCCAAACAGCAACTGGGCGACCAGAAACAACTCTTCCGCCACCACAACGCAACACTCTTTTTTCGGCCATTAAGGCATATTGTCGAGCATCTTTTAGGTTGAACAAATGGACCATCCCTATCTCATCTCTAATGGACTGATGCAAAGCAGCAAACCAGAGAGATAACGAGATGTCAATTGTTCATTACTCTCGTTTAAACCTACTCAAATCCAGAGATTATTAAACTCAAATTTATATTGTTTA